GGCGGCTCGGCTTGCGCGAGCCTCGGCCTTTGCACGCTTGCGCGCGGGCGCGGCAGCGGGGGCCGCTTAGGATCTTCTTCCCCGCCAGGCCCTCTGGGTCTGAATCTGCCTTCCAAGGGGACCACCATAAGTTGAGATTCTGCCTGTTGTTGTTTTGGAGGCGGGGGGCCAGGGGGGAGGCCATTTGTATTATGTTAGTAATGAAGCAAACAACTCCATGTTTCCCAGCGGCTTCAGCATCCTTGAGGTTACACCAGCTAGACCCCTAGGCACAAGGTATTCTGGTCCTAACCGAAAAAGGAGCAATCCTGGCTGATTCTGGAGGCTGCCAGATGGGGATTTAGGGGCCGCGTGCAAGCTGCATTGTGGGTTGTCCACTCTTGCTACAGAGTCTGTTCCTGAACTTTCCTCTCCAACTGCTTTGCCACACATTTGGCCCCTAAAGGATGGAGAAGACATTTTGCCCGGATTTTACCAGTTTGGTTTCTTCCCTCAGCTCCTTCCAAAGAGAAAACCCCAGAGGAGAAAGGAAGAGAAGCAGAGGAAGATGGAGAGGGGCAGTACCACGAAATCCTCTGCTGCAGATTTAAGTATCGCCCCTTCCTCTGCCACGTGAGGAAAATCCAGTTCCCCAGCAGTATTGACCCCTCCTCCAGTAAGTAGCGGGGTGGGAGAAGGGAAGAACAAGCAGGTGGGGCTTTGGGGAAAACGGACCTGTTGGAAATCCCCAGGAAACTTGTTGGTCCGCCCAAGCAATTGGCTAAGCCTTATCCCTTGAAATGAAACGTAATTTGCATGGACCCTTAAATAAGGCACTTTGGGTTCTAGTCTGTCTTTCACAAGTGATATTTTCAATTATTGCAAATACCATCCAAAAAGTACAGAATAGACACTCAAAACCCACATAAACATTCTTGCCAATGTAAGGTTAAATAAATTAAGCTGCAAACTGTGGACAACCGTCTGAAAGCCTCTTTTAAGCGCTATGCACACTTCTCTGAAGGAAGTCTGATGCAATTGGCAGGCACATCAGTCTCTTTTTATGGGGAGGCCAAGATGATCATCTGCATCTTTATCACTTTTTCTGAAGCTGAGAAGATGCCTGGGATGTGGCCTGCCAGTACTTTCATGCTGAGCTGAATTTGGGAGGAGTAGCTCCACCTCTTAGCCCACTTGCTTCATGGGCTATATGGCTCGCTGTGTGACAACTCTTTTTTTTTAATAAGACTTTTATTGAGATATATAAAAAGCACAGTTAAAATACAAATCAGAAAGTATAGGAAAGAAAGAAGATAGAACTAAAAGAAAAAGACAAAAACTAGAATAGTGAAAACAGATAGAAAAATGAAACGAAGTGACTTCTGACTATCTCCAATACAGATATAAATACAAATTAAAAAAAGATTAATCTCTTACCACTAATTAATCCAAATTCACATTATTTCTGTCAACCCAAACCATCTAATCATTAAATCCCGTAGTCAAAGCTTCATTTTTTTCCCACGCAAGCACGTAATCTAAGAAGGGTTGCCATGAGGAGACACATTTAGAAGTGGATGTGTGACAACTCTTGCCTGATCTCTGATCCTCTTGGCCAGAAAGATCGATCTGCAAGTTGCTCCTTCCTCTTGCTCCTTGTGCTACCTCCAGCAGAGTGCAGGGCCAGCTCTCCCACTGAGGAGTTCGAAAGGGGAGTTGCAGTGGGCTTTGCACGAATCCTGAGTCTCTCCTGGGTTTCCCTCTCCTTCTAGATCTGATGTACGTGTTCTGGCTCTTTCTTGTGGTCCTGGCATGGAACTGGAACTGCTGGCTGATTCCTGTCCGCTGGGCTTTCCCATATCAAACGTCAGAGAATGTCTATTATTGGATGGCTGTTGACTACCTCTGTGATTTCATCTACCTTCTGGACATCGCTGTCTTTCAGTCCCGCCTGCAGTTTGTCCATCAAGGAGATATTATCGTAAGTGGCACACAGCGAGCCAAGCCACAACTGCAGCTATCTGTGTTGTGTTGCATTTGCTTCTGACACCTGGTTTGAGAGCAAACCTGAACCAGTTAAGTTCTTCATCTGTAAATAGGCCACCAGATCTGGGCTCCAAAAATCTTAATGACCACTAAGCCTTTCCCAGCTGCAGACACTTTCTGTCTAGCAAGAGTAGTCTAGATGTAGCCAGAACATTTATTTTAGGTTTATAACATGAGGTAAAAGGCAAGTAACAGCATAAAGTATAAAATTACAGAACAGTTTACAAGACTTAAGAAGCTTCAGAAGAGGAGCGATTCTTGCACAGCAGAGTTTGATGCTGTGCCTGTTTCCATGTCATGCCAGCATATATAGCCTTCTGCTGGCCGTGCCTCAGTTTCCCTCTGAGCTTCATTTTTCCCTTTTGCATTTTCTTTCCTCTCCTAGACTGATAAGAAAGCCATGAGAAAGAATTACCTGAAGTCCCGTCGCTTTAAGGTCTGTAGTGTTTGTTTAATTTACTAATGGTTAAAATGACCACCAGATCATCTGACTGAAACAGTGTTCTCAGTCATATGATACTTAAATAATGTTCTGGACACTTAATTCTCTGTCACAATACAGATTTTATCTGGTTGGGGTAGGTATTGTAAGAATGGCATAGGAAGTTTACTAATAGTAACATTTGTGTTTAATGTCTTTGTCATTATATGAAGTAAAATTTGGGGTATACTAGGTCACTGATACATTTTGAGTGATGGGGAGATGGGTGACTCTATCATTTTCAGAATTAGTTTTTGTCAATTACTCTCCTGTTTGTAACATGGTAAAATTCAATTCATTGTACTTGATCATTTTTAAAATGTTTGCTCAAAAACTTGTATGCATTGTTCTGCATATTTCCCAGATATATACATTTTTGTCGGCAATTTTGTTTAATTTCTACAAACAAATTACCCAGATTTAATACATTTTCGAATGTGATTTCATAGACCTATGTACTTTAGGCATTCTTTCTCTTAGTATAGTTTTCTGTAGTAGAGCCTCTTTGTGTGTCCTTTACAGATGGATGCAATCTGCCTTCTTCCACTGGATTTCCTTTACTTCAAGGTTGGCGTACATCCTCTCTTGCGCTTGCCTCGCTGCCTAAAGGTGAATCATTCTAATTTTGCATCTTGAGGGAAGGGCTGAGGAAAAGCATCTCTCTCTTTATTTGCTAGAAAAGGCAGGTGGCGGCTTATCCCTGAAGTTTAATGCAGAGGAACTTCCAAGGGATCTATCTGATTCCGTGCTTCCCCCCCACTGGCTTGTGGGCGAGGAAGGGAGCCCAAAACTTCACCAGTCGCTGCCTTGGGAATGTTTTTCCTTTTCTTTCCTTTCTGAACAGTGGGCAGAATCTTCTCTGGAGCTCATCAGGACTTATTTCTTTTTCACAGTACCCGGCCTTCTTCGAGTTTAACAGCCGACTTGAAGCTATTTTGAGCAAGGCCTACATTTACAGGTGAGGCTCTGCAATTTGGTCAGTCTTTCTAGGAAGGGTGCAGTTTAGCAGCTCTGCTGAGGAAGGTGTGACTTTTGCACATCATTCTCTCAGTTCTGACATGCTTTTGCCAACTGGGCCTCTCTAAAGCAAATAGCAACAACAACCACAAAAAAATCTGCACATTGATTTTGCAGAATCAAAATTTATATCCACTTTATTTCCAAACATCACAAGCCACTTTTTGCAGCAAAATAACAGAGACTTCTACTTTAAAGGCAAGCTCTCTTATTAACATTATGGCGTACCTTTTTGTAGGCTGAGATTAGCTGGACTTAAAGTGGAAATCCTCAGAAAGAATACTGTAATGTAATGCAGTTTATGCTGGGCCAGCTCTAGAAACAGCTTAGGAAGTTCAGCTGATGTGGAGACAGTAGGAGCGCTGGGGAGTCAAGGAGCTGGAATGTACTGATACATTGATTGCACTGTAGTGGCTGTCCTCTGTGACTTTTTTTTTACCAAATCCTACAGACAACCTGTGTTTTTTAAAGCCTAAATATTTATGTAGCTCTTTGAGTTTACCTGGGCTTTAGTCTCTGCCTCAGAGGCCTTCTCCTTGGTGTGTGAGGAGATGTGCTGGCTGAAAGGGCTGTGCAAGGAGAAACAAGACGAGGAGGGTCATGGTTTTCCTCCACCCCTTTCTGAGGTTTAACACACACACACAGAAAACCATGCCACAACTGTATGTACAATGACTGTGGAACTAAAGGGTCAAAGCCACACCGCTCTGACCAGGTGGAGTTTCTTGGAGGAAGACAAGGAATGCCCTAAGCCTTGCACATCTCCAGCATCCAAGACATTTTAGCTTGTATGAACAAGAGAGAGCAAATGCATTGAACTCTCAGTAGCAACCTTTCCTGGACTCAAAGCAGCCACCCATATTTTCAGTCCTGCAGGAATGTCTGCAGAGCAGAGTCAAAAAAGTCAAGATGGCAGCCATGACAGTGAGATCAAGTTGTGCCCGGTTTTTGTGTGTTGCACACACGACTTGCATAAAAGCCAGGCAGAGCTTCGATCGCATTGTCATGGCCACATCTTGGCTTTTTGCCCGCCCTTGCAGACAACGCTGCAGTCTCGGCTGGCTGAGAAGTGCTGGGCGGCACCCCGCGGTGTGGATGTCCCCCTCTAGCCATACCTGATGCCCACCACGCCCTCTTAGCTTTCTGCTCCTGTGAGCAGTGCTGCTGAAGTTCTCTGTACAGGGGGCCTGGGGGCACAGGAGCCCTGCCATGCCCAGCCTGAGGTTCTGAAGGGACTTTGGCAGCCTGTTCCTGATGTGGCTGATCTTTTTGCCTTCTCGGTAGAGTCATAAGGATCACAGCCTACTTGCTCTTCAGCTTGCACGTGAACTCCTGTTTGTACTACTGGGCCTCCTCCTTCCAGGGGCTCGGCTCCTCCGCTTGGGTCTACGATGGCAAAGGCAACAGGTAGGCCTGAGGGGGGGGTGCTCTCAGCCGGTGCAGCCAGCCTTCATGGGAGAAGGGGGCAAGGAGGAAGAGGCGCATAAGCACATGGGCTGGTGTGTCTCCTGTGCTTTATGTTTCTGAAGTTACATCCGCTGTTATTACTGGGCTGTCAAGACATTAATAACCATTGGAGGACTGCCTGAGCCACGGAACCTCTTTGAGATTGTTTTCCAGCTTCTCAATTACTTCACAGGGGTCTTTGCTTTCTCAGTGATGATCGGCCAGGTGAGTGCTCGCTTCGCGCCTTTGTCCTGTCACAAACATTGCTGCGTTCTTTTCTCACTTGCTGCACAATACAGCTTTTATGGGAGGGCCACTATTAGCACGGGATAATATTTAATACTGCTTAAAGTTAAGCTATTTATTTCTTAGAATTATGATGTAATTAAACCAACATTCTTGATTTAAAATTAAAATACACTTCATAATGTGCTATAATAAGTTAACAACTGTTAAAACATTAAAACACTATTAAATCAAAGAACAGCAAAAAAGGGGAGAAACATGAAGAATTTAGTAGACTTTTAGAAGCTGCTGGTTCTCTTTTATGGAAACTTGGACAAAATTCAGGGGTATTCAGCCTGCTCAGGCATAAAATTAATATCACGGCATCCTCCCCACAGACTGAATAGTCGGCCTGGAGATGTCCTGTTCCATCCTAACAAAAACAAGCCAAATTCTCCGACTGTCGGGTTTAGCTTTTCAGGTGTATCTCCTGGATTTCATTTCAGCACTGAAGACGTTTTTGATATCGGCATAACCATCTGCAGCTGAATGAATTCCCATTAAATAAGACGAGAGTCCAAACCTTCATTGACATTAAAAGAGCAAACAGAAATACAGAAACACTCATTGACGTATCGCAAGATTAGTTAAAGAGAAGGCCGTACTCATTGAGAGACTTGTTTACATTTGTTTTGAAGTGCTTCATCCCAGAATTTAGCCACAATTCTGGTAATTTCAGGCACGACATCTCTCAATAGATATTGGCAGGCTGATACGGTATTTGGCGGATATTTGCCCTGTGAAGGTTTTAAAAGCAGTTCGTAATGGAGAGTCTCAACTGGGTGGCAGTCAAAAATTATGTGGTGAATTGTATCAGGGGTGCCGCAAGAACAGAGCCCCTCGTGGTTGGGGATGCGTTTATATCTTCTGAGAAGTACCTCGGAAGGAAAAGAGTTTACTCTGGCCAAAAAGAAGGCCCTACGCTGAGATGGGACCTCAAGATCTTGGAAATAATGCACCATCTTACCCAAGTGAGTTTCTATACCTAACATGGAAGATGAACAAACACAGGGTTGAGCAGGTCTAAGTTTGTGATATTCTAAATCTAAAAATCTCTGTTTAATCATTCTAAATACATAAGTTTCATCCGATAAATATAAATCATCAATCCCTATCCCAGTTTGCTTAAGTTCAGACATAATTGTCAGGATCTACGGAAACCAGAATCTTCAATTATTTTAATGTGCTATTATTACTAACCATTCTTTTGCATTTATT